CTGTACTTCCTGTGGAGAAGATGAGTAATAACCTTAAGGTGAAATCTTTTTTCAGAAATGATGGGATGTCACAAATTAGTTCCAATTATATCTACCATATAAACTAAAGGAAACTCAGTTAAATTTGAATGTTCAAAACCAAACCGACCTCAATGTCTTTGAGTCAATTCCAACTTATAGCAACTCCTCCTTGCATTTCTAAAGCAGTATCTCTATAGAAGTAGATTGCCCAGTCTTCCTTCTGAAGAATGGCTGGTGGGTTTGAACCATCAGACTTCTGGATAGCAGTCAAATGCTTTAGGCACTACACCAACAGAGCTTTTTAGATAATAATAATTACTGTTATTATTGTTTTTTGGTAAAAGCACGTTTCATGTATTGCATGGAATATATTCATACCAAGTTAAAACTATTGATTTCTCTAAAGTTCAGATTTAACTGAGTGTCTTGTATTTTCCAAAATTTGGCAAGTTTATGCCAGAAAAATCTTAAGGTTACAAACTAATCACATTTTTCTGGGAACTTCCGACCAGCCACTCCTCAGAAGGAAGGTTGGGCAATCTATTTCTGTAGTGATACTACCTCGGAAACCCAAGGAGCAGTTGCTATGAGTCAGGTCTGACTCGATGGCAACGTGTTTGTGCTTACCTTTTCCATGTGTTAGTACGGTTTTAGCTTCATATGCTTTCAGGAGCAGTGGTAGCATAGTGCTAAAGACATTTGACTGCTAACCATAAGGCTGGTGGTTCAAACCCACTAGTCACACCTTGGAAGGAAGGTTGGGCAATCTACTTCTGGAGTGATACTGCCTCGGAAACCCAGTGAGTTTCTTGGTATGAAGACTTCTTAAGCAGCCTATCATTTTTGATAAACTCACCTCTGGTTCTGCAACAGAAAATACAGTTATATGGGTTAAACAATGTGTATTATCTTTGAATCCAGGAAACAAAATATTTGAAAATCTCTTTTCTTGCCTTTTCTTCTCTTTCGTTCGCGTTCTTTTTGCCCTGATAAGCCACATGAGGCAGCACTTTTTCCATGCTCTAAAATATCTACATCTGTTTTTGTTTATTTTCATGTATTTATTTTCCCCAGAAGGTTCATTTTATTCAACTCACCTTTATGTAGATAAATGCCTATTCTCCCTTACACAACTCTTTCAAAAATTCACAGAAGCAGGATTTCATGAATCCTTCATGAAAACTCTCAGGACTATGAGTTCTTCCACTTCTCCAAAACATTTATTCTGGAACTTGCTATGTAGGTTCTCATTTAACTGTCTGTGGAAGACTTTGCATTAAAAGTGTCCTGTTTCCTGAAAAATCAGAAAGTCAAAGTCTCTAGTGTAACTTGATATTGCCCAAAATGATTTTTGCCTTGAAGAACTGTATGAAATTCATCAAGTTCTATTGGCATAACACACTACACAAAACATTGCTCTACTTCCTACTTTGGTGAGTAGCGATTAGGATCTTAAAATATTGCAAGTGGCCATCTAGATGCAAGGATGGCTCTCTCCTCATCCAGCACAAAGAAGAATGAAGGAAACCAAAGATTTATGGAAACAATTAGTCCAAGCAACTGGTACACCATGTGATCCACAACCTGGATGATTATGAGACCAGAAGACCTAGATGGTGCCCAGCTACCACTGTCAACCATGCAGAGGGGTATCTATGTAGGAGATCCTGGATAGAGTGGGAGAATAATGTGGAACAAAACTCAAAATCATTTGAGAAAAAGAGAGAGAGAGAGAGAGACCAGTTTTCCTTGTCTGTTTCAGCTTGATGGAACCACAGAGACAATGGCCTTTAGCTGTCCTTCAGGTCTGAAATTGAACCCACACCTGTGGCTTCCAGTCAAATAAAAGACAGTCATATGAGCTGAATGTTTACACTAGGTAGAAACACTCCTTGGAGAGAACAATCATGGAAGAATAGAAGGGCTGTGTATGCACAGGGACATAACTCAGGGGACAGGAATGCATGGAAGGAAGGACTCAGGGAAGAGGTAACTATGGGGAGGAAGTGGAAGGGAGCTGTTACATTATAAGGATTGTGATCAATGTCATGAAACAAAATGTGTATGACCTGTTGAATGAAAAGCAAATTTGCTCTGTAAATTTTCACCCAAATCACAATTAAAAAAAAAAAAAAAAAAAAAACTGTCTGAATTTAAGACATGCTCTTAAATAGAAAATAATATGTGTATTTTCTCAGAATCAGAAAGCAAACTTGCTTCTGAAATAGGAAGAACCTCTTCTGCCTCTGGAGAGCTTGTTTAGGAGAGATACTTAGGGTCAAATATCTACTTCCTTTCCCTGTGACACCAGAGCAGTAGCAAAGATCTGTTGCCTTATTCTGTAGAGGAGACCAATCAGTTAATGAAATTCATTACCATTTTCTGATAAAATTTCAGTTTCTTAGAAAATCTGAAGGTAAGCAACAGTACATTTAGAAACTTTTTCTACAAAACTTAAAGGTTTAGAAGTAATAACCTTGTACTACCTGTCGCCATAAATTTTCCCATAGTCTCCAAAATTTTTGTATGATATGAAATCATAGTATATATAGCATATTTATATTTACTCAACAAATATTTATTAAATGTCTCCTATGTCCCTAATCTCTTTAAGAAACAACCACCCACCTAAACACCAACCCATAACACTAAACACATTAAGGGAATAGGGAGATGATATTTCAAGTTCTTTGCTACTTAGGTCTGTTCCTGCCAAGGTGCAGAGTATCTTTTCATATATATTGATTAAAGAACTACAACGGTTGGACATTTGATTTATCACTGTCTCTAAATTATCGATAGCTAGTGGCATAGTCTGGTAGCATACCATGCCTAAGGCACTTGACTGCTAACCAGAAGGCTGGCAGTTCAAACCAACCAGCCACTCCTCGGAAGGAAGGTTGGGCCATCCTACTTCCGTAGTGATACTGCCTCGGAAACCCAAGGAGGGGTCGCTATGAGTCGGGGCCGACTCCACGGCATATAACAACAACAACAAAGTGACATAGTGCCTAAGGCATTCATTTGACTGCTAACCAGAAGGCTGGTGGTTCAAACCCACCAGCAACACTTTGGAAGGAAGGTTGGGCAATCTACTTCCTTAGTGATACTGCCTTGGAAACACAAGGAGGGGTCGCTATGAGTCGGGTCCAACTTGACAGCACATAACAACAACAGATGGAAATAGTATTTTCAGTGTTTCTAAAGTTATTGCTGACATCTCAGAACCCTGATATATGGAGAAATTTTCATCTGTTCACAGCAAGATCTCATCTTTGCTTATGATTTATTGTATAATTTGCACTAAATCATCCAGACTGCAGTGTAGTGGATTGCATAGTGTGGCTTTTCTAGCCATAAGTCTTTTTAAACTCTGTGATAGAGTATCTACCTGAGGAATTTTGTTGAGAGTGGCATGAAACAATCTTCTGGCAAGTTCTCTCTCAGGTGTATAGAATTTTGATGTTGGGACTGGTTAGTTTAGCCACTCTGCCAGGCTCAAAAGAAGTTGTCATAGAGGCAGAAGGTGTCTTTGACTTTTGGCTGAGAAAGACGTGCTGTTGAGAGAAACGCTACTGTGAGAGACATGCACTTGCTGAGACAGAGATGTGAGAACCACATGCTGCTGAGAGAGAGACATGAGAGACATGTGCAGCTGAGAGAGACAGCTGGCTGCTGAGTGAAATAGCCAGCTGCAAGAGATCGAGTGCATTTCTTAACTTGAATTGTAGCCTGTTGCTTCCCTAACAAACTCCATAATCTGTAAGTTCTGTGTGGCCACTGGAGTGAATTATTGAATCTAGCAGAGAGGTGGTGGATGCTGTGGAAGGAATGGTTGGTGTCAGGGTTGGTGAAAGGGCTGGAGGGAGGCAGCATGTCTTTCTTCACAGGGATAGGCCTTGAGCTGCTGATGGTGATTCTGTCTTCCTCTTGTGGGGTTAGAGGAGGTCAGAAGATGAGGCCTCCCCACCCCTTCGGCACAGACTCTGCATCCCTTTGATATCTCATACTTACAGCACATTCTATATTACTACTCTGTTAACACTGATATTTCACCCGACTATAATTTTGATATATCATAATTACAGTATTCAGTTGTCTCAACAGCAGTTTATCCCACTTGATGATGTGTCCAAATGTAAAGGAGTGAGATAGTTTTTATTATGATCCACAAGGTTTTCATTGGCTAATTTTTGAAGATAGATTGCAAGGCCTTTCTTTATAGTTTGTCTTCATCTAGATGCTCCAGTAAGAGCTGTCTGTCATTGCTGATGCTTATTTTTTAAGTACTGGTGACATAGCTTTCAGCTTCATACTAATATACAGGCTTGCTTCCACAGTACAACAAACTCTTTACATCTTACATAAAATTTAATTTTCCTAATAATTTTGTGAAATGATTAGTAATATTGTTTCTTTTTATCACATGAGATATTATTTGAAGTACCAACACATCATAATCTATAATGCCAACACTAACAGCAAAATGAATAAAGGAAACACAAAATCAACAACCAATAGAAAAAAAAGTTTTGAAAATAGATACACATATGGAATTTTCATTTGTTGCATGAACTCTTTGACACAGATGTGTTCTCCATTGTCAAAACACAAAACAAACAAAACAAAAGCAGGAATTTAATATTCAAAAGAATCATAGTTTCTATTATGGATACCAAAGAAATTATCATGAATTGTCCTTCACATTATTGAGATTTCACAGCAAACCAAATGTCTGTGTCTTAACATTGATGTTCCCACATCTACTTAAAACATTACCAGTTGAAGAAAAGCAAATAAATGGCCTAAAATTTTAAAAACGTACTCAAAGCTTCTCTTGCAAATTGGAAAGGCATATTGAAAAGTGAATCAAAATCAATCATTTCTAACTATGTGTTTCCAATTATTTCCTCAACTCCAACACTGTAGCTAACCTTAATCACCTCTCTATAATATTCCACTTTGAAATCCTGAACCTACTAAGAAAGTGCTCCTTTGGAAAACAGTTTGGGGTCCACCATTTCCTTGAGAGCTTCTTTCACATCCTTGTTCCTCAGGCTATAGATCAGAGGGTTAAGCATGGGAATCACGATAGTGTAGAACACTGTGGCTATCTTGTCTGTGTCCAGACTGTTGCCAGAGCTTGGCCGGCAGTAAATAAAAAGGATTGTTCCATGGAAGACAATGATGGCTGTGAGGTGGGAGGCACAGGTGGAAAAGGCTTTGAGCCTTCCCTCTGCAGAGCGCATCCTCAGGATGGTGATGAGAATGAACAAGTAGGAAGTGAAGATGATCACCATAGTGCTGATCTCATTGAAAGAGGCCACAATATACAGCAACAGTTTGTTCATAGAGACATCAGAACAAGCAAGAGATAAGAGAGGAGGTAGATCACAGAAGAAGTGGTTAATCACATTGGATCGATAGGACGGGATCTCCAGAGTTAAACATGTGTGAATCAGAGAACACACTGCCCCACACAGGTAGCAGCCAGATACCAGCTCCACACAGAACTTCTGGGACATGATGACCATGTAGAGCAAGGGCTTGCAGATGGCCACAAAGCGGTCATAAGCCATCACTGCCAGTAGGATCACCTCAGTGACCACACAAGTGCAAAACAAATAGAACTGTATAATGCACCCCACAAAGGAAGTGGGTTTATGCTTGCTGATGATATTGTCCAGCATCTTAGGCACAATGATGGTGGAGTAGCAGAAATCCACAAAGGACAAGTGGCTGAGGAAAAAGTACATGGGGGTGTGAAGCTGAGAGCTGAGCTGGATGACCACAATCATACCCAGGTTCCCAAAAACTGTGATGCTGTAGATTAGAAGGAAAAATAGGAAGAGGAAGACTCTCAGCTCAGGGATCCCTGACAATCCCAGGAGAAGGAACTCTGTCACAGTGGTGCAATTTTCCTCCATCATTTTCGACAATATTTCAGGTCTGGGAAGACAAATTCAATTTTTTATCATTCTCCTGGAAGAGAATAGGGCTTTATATCAACTGTGCAGAAATAGAATGTTGATATAAAATTCATTTTTATGAGAAATTTATTTATAAGAAAATGAAAATTATCAAAAAATTCAGAGTATTGAAAATCTCTATAGATTCTAATAATTTAAAATAATAATCATCAGAAGTCTTAAACATTTCTCAGAATTTATATATACAACATAGTAATAGGATCTATTACATTATTGTTTAGAGTGAACTTTAAAATAGATTCAGTGTCATGCTTTACAGAGCCATAGAAATTAAGTCCTGTTTCCTGAAACATTTAGCAAGCTCTGTCCAATTGGGGCTGCAGGTTTTGTAATCCTGTATAATTTGCATTTCTTTTTTTTTTTCAGTGTATTAGTCATGTAAATTTACAGTAGATGAAGCACTCTTTTTCCAATGTTGTGAAGTACAACAAGCTTCCTTGATATCAATATCTTAGAAAGAGCTTTTACAACTGGGTATTATTTATAAATTTTAGAATGGAATATCAATTTTTTTCTGTAAAGTTCCATTCAAGCCACAATTTAAAATTAATAAATTTGAAACAGAATGAGAAAAGAGATCAAGTAGACAGAGAAAATCATAATCTTTATCAAATTAATCCAATTATTTTATTAATTACAAGGGTAATGGTCAATGTCAACAATACTAACTCTTGTATGAGCTTTTCTGGGAAGGTGCTAATGACCATATAATTAAAACATTAATTTCAAGATCTGTAAAATCTTCCTTGGAAGGAAAGTTGAGAGTTGAGCAATCTACTACTGTAGTGATACTGACTCACAAACTTTATAGAGCTTATAATTATTATTGAACTTTGTAAAGTGTTTGATATAACTAGAAGAATTTGATATATTTTAAAATAATTTATTCATAAATTGTATTTATGTCAATATTCAAGTAACTAAAGTCTAGTTGTAGTTAACAAACCTGGCTGAGAAACATTTCTTCTCTGTTCCTGAAGATGTCATGCAGTGAATAGCATAAAGTGAGAGATTTTATACTGTAATTTAAACTCTTGGGGATTGGGTTCTTTATGTCCCCAAAACAATTGCTAGCCTCTATAGAATACTACAAATGAATAATTAAAAATAAAAATAACTCTACATGTAAGGTACAAATTATGGATAATCTCTGTATAATAATAAACAAACCCAATACTCTGTCTTGGGAAACATTTTGAAAAACCAGACATACCTCCTTTTCAAGCTCACGGTGCATTATGGGAAACTCAGATCCTAGCATTGTGTATGTTATACTGACATTCTGAAGTAATGAGAGTATTTCTTACTGATTTTTAACTTTCCCAAAGCATTCCAAAGTATCATAACTTCTTGTCAGTCATAGTGTGCACACCCATACTAAAATCAAGGTAATGGACTTGAGCTTCAGTTTAGCTTTTTCTGTGGTCACCTCAGTGTACCACATGCTTCAGATTTCTGTAGTTACCTCATACTTAACATGTGGACTGGTTTGCATAGACATAAAATATTCACTAAAACCCAAGCCTTATGTCTTTCCTTTCACCTCCACCTCAGAGAGGATTCCTTTCCAGATTACTCTCCCTCTCCAGGCTGTGAAACACTATGACAGGATACTCAGTGCTTGTGTTAGCTGATTTTCCAGTGACTCTCCAAAAACCAAACCAAACTCACTGTCATGGAGTCAAATCTGACTCATAGCCACCCCTCCTTGGGTTTCACCACAGAAGTAGATTGCCCAACCTTTGTCCTGAGGAGTGACTGGTGGGTTTAAACCACTAGCCTTTTGGTTAGCAGTCAAGTGCCTTGGGCATTACGCCACCTATTTGATATGTTGCGGAAAGGTTGTGATTTTGCAGAATATTTGTTTGTTCGCTAATAATGAAATCCAATACATTCCTAGCTTCCTATATCCTAAACTGAAGCCCGAGTGTGATTATATATTGCTTTAAAGAACAACCAACTAGATCAATATACAAGAAGCTTTTCAAATTGTTATTTAATAAACCATACTAATGCCCTTTAAAAATAATTTCTCAGATAGTGAGACAAGGAATGACTCTACTGACTACATCACAAATCCATTTGTAGATCGACAGATTTTCCTTCAACTAAAATAAAGAAAAAAAATCTAGTAATATTTAGGTTGGTCAATCTACTTCCGTAGTGATACTTCCTTGGAAACTCAAGGACGGGTCACTATGAGTCGGGTCTGACTTGAGGGAACATAACAACAACAACAATATTTATTAAATTATTAAAATAATCATTGATAGTAAGTGACTATGAAACTTTGACATATTGGGTTGCTATTGTTGTTGGTGCTGTGGAGTTGGTTCCAACTCAAAGCAACGTATTAGTTACATGGTGTGAAAAAATTGGGGGGCATTGCTATTTCAATAAAACAATTTTTTCACCTTTATTTTCTTGTCACATTTCAAGATACTGAAATCTGTATTATTCGAGTGATCAGACATAATAATCAATAGATAATTTTATTAATAGAGATAAAAAAAATAAAAGTCAGCTCATCAATACTGTTGAGATGCATTTCCAATGACGTTGGGTAGTTTCTCTTTGAAAATGTTATCAAAACTGTAAATATATTTAAGTTTTCTTAAAAATAATGTAGTAGGGAGAGTTGTAACAATAATTCAGTGTAGTCAGAAATCACATGGAATTTTGTTGCCCCAGAAAACTATAGGTCAGTTGATAGATAGGGTGTGTTTAGTTGCAAATTATTATGCTAATGTAATTAACAAAGAATACAGTCTTGAAGAGTAATGGAATTTAAATAGTTCAGAGGCAACAGAAAGGTTGTAAAAACCAATATTTCACCTATATTAACTGTATGATAATGGACTTCAAGTAGCTATAGTAAGCACTGGAAGTTATAGGTGTTCCTTTTTCAATTTCGACTTATGATGAATATTATCAGTGTAAGTCATGCTCTACAGAACAGCGGTGATAACTACCACAGATAACTTTGGAATCTAAAGGTAGATACTGGAATATGAGATTTCACATCAGTGTTTTATGAAAAGTATTCTTGCTAGTGAGGGTGAAATCCCTAATTTAAAACTTTGGTCACAGCACTTAAACCACATGGATGTCCGTTTCCTCAAAATAAAACTGGAAATGGTTGTGTCT